GCGTAAGAGTTGCTCGAGGCGATAGCCGAGAGCAACTCTAGCCCCTTGAGTGCTCTCCAAACTTCCCAAGTGCATCCATAACTCGATATACCGACCCAGCTAAAAGCATGAAACAATTCTTTTATAACATTATGACAACATCTTGGGTGCTAAAATATGTTTTATTAGTGATTTACTACAAAGCTCTCACAATGCACGGGAAACTAAGGTCATTAGGATCCTAACACGCCACAATCAGTTTAGCAACAGTTGGACAAAAACGCTTAACCTGGTTTCTTCGAATTAATTATAATGAAAATGTAGGCAGACAAAGTCAAAAATACTCAATGAAAATGTAGATAAACAAAGTCAAAATACTCAAGTTTAGGTACACATCTTAGCTAGGCAAAAGTCAACGGCTCGAAGTAGAGTTTCGATTGTTCAGAATAATCCTCACTTTGCCGAAACTTAACAAAAGGAGCTTGCACTAAACTCAACGGCAATTTATCAGCTAGCTTGAAACTGTACACGTCATGTTACATACGCACGGCCGTGTGTATATAGAGATTTCGTTCATGATGACTCGATAGGAATTAGGTAGGACTAGCGCGCGCGCTATGTTATTTAAGAAATAGAAAACATGTACCGTATTTCTATCGAGTATTGTTGTAGTATAAATCTACTAGTCGTTCAAAACTTTATCTAAATCCTCTTCACAGACACTTCGAAAATGCCAGGAAACGGCCGTCATTTTGTCAACAAGGGCACACTGCTAAGCTACTCACTATCTATCACAGAATAGATAGTGAGTAGCGTAGCCAATCAGCGAACGGCATTCGTGATAGAACGCTAGTAGATTTATACTACAACAATTAGATTATTCGCTCTCGATTTCTATGCGTGATAGAAATCTCGAGCTTATAATCTTTTTTACAAAAACGAGTGGAAGTTTGGGAGAACGAGAAATGCTGTGGGAACACGAGCCGCGGACGAGTGTTTCAACAGCTTTTTCGAGTTCTCCCAAACTTCCACGAGTGTTTCTAAAACTCGATAGAAACACGAAGAACATGTTTTCTATCTCTTTAAGAAAACAACACGACGAAAAAAAGGAAAAAAAAACTTGTTAACTTTGATTATCAAAATGTAAATTCTCTTTGCTCGCGCCATCATTGCGTCAACAGCTCGTGCTAGTTCTGTGTTTCTATCGAGTTTAGTATAATCTACTAGCGTTCTATCATGAATGCCGTTCTCTGATTGGCTACGCTACTCACTATCTATTTTGTGATAGATAGTGAGTAGCGTAGCGACGGCCGCTTCTTGGCGTTTCGAAGTGTCTGTGAAGAGGATTTAAATAAAGTTTTGAACAACTAGTAGATTTTTACTAAAACAATTAGATTTCTCGCTGTCAATTTCTATGCGTGATAACGTATCTCGAGCTTATAATCTAATTGTTTTTTAATTGTTTTTTACATGATTTTTAACCAATCAGCCCGCGTATTTTCTTAGGACTGTTTTCTAAAAAGAGATTTCGTTCATGATGGCTCAATAGGAATTAGATAGGACCAGCGCGCGCTACGCTATAATACATTTTGGTAGAATATCATTGCTTTGACAGATTCCATTCATGCAAATACTCAAATTCCGGATAAAGAAAACACCATGAGGTTTAAAGTTTATTTTTAACTTGCAGCTGATAAGGCAAGTCACCCGGTAGCTACCGTATCTTACTCAGTAAAGGCGACGCTAACTGGTGGAGATTTGCTATAGTAGAAATAGCAATAGTTGATCTGGTGTTTTATAGTATGGTTATTGTTACTTCTTTAAGCTACATCTACCAACACGACCTTACAAGCAGCAGCACATTAATTTTTATCATAAAAAAAAGTAATTANAGCAATAGTTGATCTGGTGTTTTATAGTATGGTTATTGTTACTTCTTTAAGCTACATCTACCAACACGACCTTACAAGCAGCAGCACATTAATTTTTATCATGAAAAACAATTAATTAAATCAGTTATTACATCCGTCCGGTTAGTCAGTCAGACAATCAGTCCGTCCGTCCGTCAGTCAATTAACCGTGTATTTACCTTTATTTTCTGCAATGAGATTGAGAACTCGCTCAAATTCCTGGAGGAGAACAAAATGCATGCGTTTACCTCTTTTGTAATCTAGTTCAGGAAAGTTTTAGGGAGTTTGTCGCCAACTGGAAACTATAGAATCTTGAATTGTGCACATCGGCGACCTAATACGGGGTTCGTACAAAAGAACACCAGACAGACACCTTGGAAATAACGAACATTTACAGTAGTTAGAAGAATGAGGGTTAGAGCGCATTAGGTCAAAAAACGGCCTTGCCACCTCTCCGCAAACCAAAAAAATACCCTCGCCGGGCCTCAACTCGAAAAATGCATTTTCAGGCCTCTTAGAGCCTTTTTCGTCCTAAGCCCTCTCGTGAGCAAATTTCATGTCTCCCACCCCTCCAGAAATCAAAAAAATCCTTTTGCTGGAAAACACTTCGCGGAGTCATCTCGTGATCAAAAACTACTCCTGCCACCCTTCCAAAAATAAAAAAAATCCTTCTGCCAGATACAGCATAAATTAGGCTGTCCCAGGCCTCCGCAAATCAAAAATGGGTCACCAAGTGGCAAAACAGTGCTTTTGATCGAGGCTTAAAGAGAAATCGACAATTATACAATAGGAATGCTGAGTATGAAAAGTGAAATTGAAATTTTTAAGTTTCATCCTTTGTATAATAAATATGCCGCGTCGAATCTTGGCAAGGTTATCAATATCAGAAAAATGAAAACAGTTGGAAGATTGAATCCTAGTGGTTATAATTATTGTTCTGCTAGCGGGGCTGAGATTCAAACTGAAAACAATTCATATTCATATGGGAATGTTTCAATGGTTCAATTCCGAGTGATAAAGTCATTGATCATATCAATGATATGAAAACTGATAATAGACTTTCGAATCTCCAATTATTAACACAAAGTGAGAATAATAAGAAAGCAACAAAAAAATCGATATTATTCTTTTGTCAAATATAATCATTTGAATAACAAAAAAGTCAAATCAATAAACTGCTCCGATGGGACGATTATGATTTTCAAAAGTCTATCCAGTGTTGAAAAACAATTGAAAATTAATAGTGGTTTAGTGAAATTGATATGCGATAAAGAATATGGCCGTAAACATGCCTATTCAAAATTAGACGGTACAAAGTATTCATTTGAATATACAAAAAGAATAGCCAAAAACAATAATATATTTGGCTAAATAAATAGCAAAAGCAGATGCGGTAAAAACAACACAACTGATAGACAATCTATCTGTAAATATAGGGTAGATAATTTTTACCACAACCGAGTAATGTTAATATATATTACTCGATTAACGTTTATATTTTCACCACATCCTTCGTTGGTACCCAACTGTTGAAATCATCAGTGTATCCCTTCCACTTTACTAAAGCTTGCTTCTTCTTATGATTCCTCCTGATGATTTTTTCAATTCTGAAAACATCCTCTTTAGCTTTTGACAGCTCAGGGTTATAAAAACTGCCTTCTATCTCTTCACCGTGGAGATCTTTTAATTTGAAAGTGATTGGACTCGTGTATTGGATCTTATCAATTATAAATACTTCCTCAGTCCAATTAGGGGTATATCCTTTGTCAAACACCTTTCTTTTGCACTTGCTTATTCTAACTTTGTCGCCTACTTTGAACTTCGGTTTTGATGATGGTTCTGTATTACCATGTAGATTAAAATATACAATTCCTTCATTCCTCTTTTTACTAGCCTCAACAGGTGTCATTTTTATTGAACCGTGTTTAGTGTTACTGCACTGTTCTAATATTTTGGGTAGTATATCCAAATAATGTGTATTACCCTGAATACCAAACTGCTTCCACATCTTGGTTTTTATTGTTTTGTTCCATCTTTCGCAAACAGATGACTTTTCTTCATTCTCGGTGGAGTACAATGTTATTTCATTCTTGTCCAATAAGTTCTCCAAATGCTTGTTATAATACTCTTTACCCTTATCAGTCCATAGGTACTCAGGTTTTCTGCCCTCTTTGATAATGGATTTGAATGCTTCAGTTACAGTTTCACCTTTTTTATCCTTCAACGGCACAATCCAACCATATTTACTAAACACGTCCAAAACTGTGAGAAGATATCTGTAGCCTNTGGATTTGAATGCTTCAGTTACAGTTTCACCTTTTTTATCCTTCAACGGCACAATCCAACCATATTTACTGAACACATCTAAAACCATCAGAAGATATCTGTAGCCCTTGTTCCATTTGCTGAACTGTTGCATTTCAACTAAATCAGAACACCATATTTCATCAATATGATTGACTATCACACGCCGCCGAGTAAAGTTACGCTTTATTGGCTTGTGTAATTCATCAGCTAATTTTTTTTGCCAGTTACTCGACGGCTTTTCCCGTTTTTTGGTACCCCAAGACCTAGTTTTTGTTTTTAATCAATCAAGAATCGTGCTGTTGATCCCCATTTTGGCATTTCACCATATGGAATTTCATCCAGTGATGCAACCATTTGTCGGTCACAATCACCTTTGTTTTTACCCATATCATAACAAATATCATGATAAGCAGCTATTTCATCCACTTTGTTCTAAGGTTGTAGATGCCATTTGAGAACTTCACCAGTGTTTGGGTTGTATTCTAATTGCTTATTCAATGGATTATATGGTCCCATATATTTGTATTTTCCAGGAGTAAAACCTGCTTTGGGTTTGGTAGTTTACCAATTGCTTTGTGGATGTCAAACCCTTTTCCTGCCATCCAATCATCATAATCTTTTTTTGTTTCATCAATACTTTTTTCGGTAATTTTCCTTGGAAATCCTTCTTGTTATTCCATGCATTTATAACTTTTCTAGCAAAATCTTTGGTAATTAGTTTTTCGTTTTCTTCCAAAAATAAAGGTATTACTTCCCATTCTAGGTAGATCTCATCCTTTTTCAAGTCTTTTAACGCACCACCAACTGGACTCCATGTTGGTCTACTCGTGTAACCCATATCAAGAGTCCATTCACCTAAACTCTTTTTTTCCTCCTTTCTTCTTGTACTCTTTGTACTGTCTCATATATTCAGCATGTCTTTCTTTTGCACTCGGTTCAGGTCTTTTGAATAAAGTGGGATCAGTCAAAACTTTCTTCGCACCTTTCCAATCAACATATGGAAATGGTAATGGTACACCGCTTCCTTTGTTCATGTCAGCATCAAGATCCATTCTGTCAGTTTTGTACTTATAATTTGGTCTCACCTTAGTTGATAATTGATTAATTACTTCAGATCCAACTTTTTGACTAACACGAGTTGCTTTCTTAATTCCCCAATCAATTGCTTTCTTTTGCAATTTTGGATTTCTCATGAATTCAGAAGCATAATATCTTCTAGCTTCTGTACCTTTCTTAGCTAAATAAGGAATTCCTTTGTTGATAAATAATTCAGCAGCTGTATCTCCAACGGAACCCAATATACCTGATCCCCTCGTTCTTTTTTCAGCTTGTTCAGTTAGCTTTGCAAGCTCATAACCTAAATCCATTGGTTGAAATATATTGCCCCCAGCTTGTGAGGGCACATTTAGTTTCCCTGTTTAATAAACCTGACTTTGATAATTCCACATTCAGCGCAAGTACATTTCATCATATTTCTTCCATTCTTAGCTTTCATGTAGCGTTCACTTCCTGGAACACATTCTGTTTGCTTTTTCTGTTTCACGCAATAAGACTTCATATATAATATATTATACAATATTTTCAAAATATATCTCAATAAACCGTTCATTCTTCATTGCATCATGAATATCGAATACATTCAACAGATCCAAATATGATTTCCCTTTATTCATCTCGTTCAAAAAGTACAACCAAAAATAGCCACAAGTTATTGTCATAAGATTTTGGATTTGATCATTTTGAGGCAAAAGAGTCAGGTTTTTTCGTTTGGCATGATCAACAAGCTCTTGAAATGGTGGCATTCCAAATGAATCAAAGAAATTTATTTTATTATCCTCAACAAACGCTGTAACCCAATGAGATCCAATCATATATGAAGGCTCAAGATTGTAAATAAATAATGCTTGCTTATGATTCTGAGGTACTGATTGATCTCTCGACAAAACCTCATTGATCGGTGTTCTGAGGTACTTACACCATTCTATCAAATCATGGTTGCTCATTGGAATATTTTTGTTAAACCTTAGAGTATTGCTCCTATCAAAAGAATTGAGTTGAATGGGCTGTTTTTGCCTCATAGTAGTCCCTTTCCTGATTTGGATCTTTTTTTCTTTGCTCCGTAACCCATTGTTTTGTCCCAAAATCCAATGAATGGTGGTGGTGGTTGATACATACCAATCTGAGGAGCTGAACCACCCTTTGATTTTGGTAATGGCGGTGCTCCCATTTGTGGAGCGCTTCTTCCGGTTATAGCTTTCAATAGTGGTTTACCAACTACATCAACAGCTATTGGAATTCCAATTGATGCAAGCATTGATCCTACTCCAGAACCTATTTGTTTATTGGAAAGGTTAAGAAGAACATTCGGATCACCTCTTGCTAATCCCCTTGCCAAATCTCCAACTTGTTTTCTGGTTAATAGATGATTATAAGTATTCACAAGATCACTAATACTATTATTTGGAATCATAAAAGCACCACCTTTCTGGCCTCTTCCTGATATTTCCTTCACAACTTGGGAAGCACCTTCTGAAGCTAATCCGGCCAATGCAGATAATCCAAGTGTTTTTGCTATTGTGGGTGCAAAAACACGGCCAAGACTAAGAATGCTTGTTAACAGACTACGTCCAACTTGATTTCTGATATTAGTCTTAGCCAGTTTGATGTCCATTCCTTTATTCAGCTGTTTATTTTTTTGCAATCGTTTCACCACATTTTGCGGGACGTACAAAACGTCATTTCCAGTTAGTGCATCTTTTGAAAGCCTGAGAACAATGGTTTCACGCTTATGGAATGCACTAGCAAGATTCTTTTTCTGATTTGGTGATAACTTCACCCTTATTTCAAATAATTGCGTCATATATTATATATATTATATAAAATATGTATTTTGAAAAACATCCTCATACTGA